TATTAATAAATAATAAAACAATTTTACATTACAATTTGCAATGTAAAGTTGCTGAAATTATTTACAAGAAAGCAGATAAAAAATTTTTTTTAAATAACCGTCCAATTTTAAACTATTAGATTATCCTGTGATACAACACAAGATAAAAGTATATAATTTGATATAATATGTTGCAGTTATGATGACCTGGAAATATAATCTTTTATTTGGTGAAAATTAAGTAATTGTCCCAATTAATTAATCTTATTAATATATGTATAATAAGAAATAAATAATTGTAAAGATTGTAAATATTCAGTTAAAAGTTCTTGAAAAATTTTATTCACAATTCTATTAAAATCTGTTAAACATCTATTCCAGTCTGTTAAAAAGCTATTCAAATCTGTTAAGAAACCATTAAAATCTGTGAAAAATTTATTCAAATCTGTTTAAAATCTATTAAAACTGTTAAAAATCTGTTCATAATTTTCTAAAATAAACTTTATATTAGAAGGTAGGTCACAATTATTCTTAGTAATGGAAAACTATGTATAACAACTTTTACTTGTTTAGCTGTAATTATAGTATTCCTAAAAAAGCAACGAATAACTAGTGTGACTAATTATTAGCATTTTATTAGTATTAACTACCGACCTGTAATGCGAACTTAAATATAGTATACACGAATAATAGTAATCACAGTGGTACGATGGAGATAGATAGATATTTATAGTTACATTTTTATCTTAATAAATATTGACGTTAATTTCGTCACATGCAGTCGCATATTTTCAGCAAATACCAAAGCAAAAAGGTCTGAAACCAGTCGCTTTAACTGCAAATTTTCTAATCCGAGCGTAAAAAACGATAAAAATTTATGTAATTAACATACTTATAAACGTGTAATAAATTACTGTATTTTTTGAATGCATTTTTTAGCATAATTAACGTGACGATGCAATATGTAGGCTACGTTGATTTATATGTACGTGTTACCCCACTTTCCAGATTCCGACAAAACAATATTTTCATTTGTGATAAACAAAGACACAATCTTATTTAGAAAATTATCGATAATATTATTCGTTAAATCAATATTTGCAGCTAGTAAAATGTCAACGAAATTAAATAGTTATACTAACTTTTGCAAAATAGAAATTTTCTTTGTCACAATTTCAATTCAATATTCTAGAATAATATCGAATAATCGACAAAAGAACGATTAAAGATATGATGCAAAATAAAGCCTGTAAAATTCGATCGTTTAAATACAATTACAAATTTATTTTAACAAATCTATCTTTTTACGTGTCAAAGATTTTGGCATCATAGATATTAAATATACCTGCTCGCAGAGTATCTTTGTTTATTCTCCATGCGTATATTAAAAGCTTATTTCGTAGGACGTAAATGCGAGATAAATTCTAGAACTTAAAGTTTAGAACATGACAAAAGAAACGGACACGAGACGGTGTTCTCAACCAGGAGAATGTGATCGTTGATCCTTCCACCATCCTACAAAACGGATTGGACACGTAATCATGAAACCAACAACCGCATTCCTCATATACGTACTAATAGGCCCTCGCAACCGCACAGAGTCTACCTGATACGAGGACTCTGTTTTATTGTATTGGGAGTCATTGCTCTTCTTCTTAAGAATCCGTAATACATATCCCGCATGGAATGATAGAAATTATATGAATTGAAAAAGAATAGTTTTATAAATACTTTATTTCGCCTGTGTTGCTCATAAATAGTGATCTTATGCTCCCTCCTTCCGCTGAAAAGCGGGAAAAAAGAAACTATAATTCATTAACAAAGAGAAAAACTAAAAATTATTTTGTAAAATCTCCATATTGCCATGAATAATCATTTAAAATTATTTAATAGCATTAATTTATGATACATGAGATGAAAAACAATAGATACAAGAAAAAAGAATATTTCAGAATTTACATTGTGAAATTTATTAAATTATAAAATCTTATTTATATTGTACTGTCTTATCATATTATGAAATTTGTTTTTTCTTTTTTCTTTTCTTTTTTTTAAATATTACGTTATGTATAATATAATGTTTAGTATGATATATTATCTGTTCGTCTATCGTATTACGATTTTTTGTATACTAGGAAGTATCTATAAGTAATATCTGATACCTCTATTTTAAGGTTGTGTTAAAAATTGCATTATACAATTAAGTTACAAAATTGCATTAGAGATAAATATATTGGACGAAAAAGAGATTTCTGATTGGAAATACCACGATTATGAATTAGCTTATATTTGCGTTTCATATATTTAAATACTTATCGAGTATGTGTGTCAAGCATTTGGGGCACAGCTTCAGGCTATGGATCATTGATCAGCGTAAGAATTCGATTTGTACGTTCCTCTCTCTCTTTTACGCGAGATTCATAAAGTAGCACATTTTATTCTGGAAGTATAAAAGAGCATTGAACTTCATTTACATTTACTTTTTAATACTATCGGTTGTATTAAAATGCGTAATAATATTTGCATTAATTTATTTTAATGTAAATATATATTAAAAATTAACGTTTAGATAATATATAAACGATTATAATTAGTATACCAAGATGTAAAGATAATTAATGATTAAACCACGATTGTTTTATGTTAATTATTATTAATTGTTTAATTTAATGTTATATCTGCTTGATTTAATTAATTTTTAAAAAAGTTGAATTAGTTGGAAATATTACATACTTAATTTTAACTTTCTTGAAATATTTGATTTTCTATAAAAGAAATACAGAATAAAAAATATTTGTAATGTTATATATTTTAAATAATATTGGTCAATAGAATTTAATACTATAATGTCAATATCCTTAATACTACAAACATATTCTACAAATTCTCTATTTGTTATAAATTTTTTAAAATAATGCGTTTGTTTGAGATCACAATTGATTAGTATTTTTAAAAATTTGCTATGTTTTTTGAAGTATTTGGTACTGAAATATTTATCAGTATATTAATGCAAATATAAGGTATATATTTTTTATGATTGCAGTATGTATTGAAGGACAAGGTGGCTGCAAAAGATGTAGAGATGGAACGTGTGCAAGATGCGCAGTGCTTTTACATCAAGGTACTTGTGTTGATACTTGTCCACCAGGCCATATTGCAGATTGGTCAACTAGAGATGAATACATGGGCAGAATTTGTAAGGAAACAGGATACATGTTTGGGTTCACTGGTAGTCAAGTAGCCATTTTAGTAGGAGTTGTTTCTGGTGCAACTATATGTATTCTGATAATATTATGTGGGGCTATAATTGTACATAGAAGAAAAAAAAAAGCTGCTAAATTAATTCAACAGTTTGAAGACAGGTACCTTTTGTTATAAATATAATATATTATATATATATAATAGTTTCTTTCTATGCTCAATGATACTAGAAGACAAGTTAGGGAATTATATTACTCTGGAAATAATGGGGATGGCGCTGTTGGGATACAAGCTTATAGGTACAGTTATAAAATATAAACTTATTATCGATATGTTCTTTCATTAATATAATTTTAATTTACAGACCAGTTCTGCGTGATTTGGCACGTATATTAGTTCTTATTAATAGAAGAGATGATGAAATACCAGTTCCTCCAGATGATTGGCAAAGACTTTTTTCATGGGCTGAGAGACTATTAAGACGGTATAAAAGGCACAGCTCTCCTGAAGTAAGTTGACTGATATATTAGAAATTGATTTAAAAAAAAATTCAATTTTCAGAAGCTTGTTATTTTAAATTTTTCTTTTTTTCACGCAAGTCTCTAAAACACTTTGGTGAGTCATGCACGTTAAAAAAATAAATATGCATGTAAAAAGAAGGTTTTTAAGTGAAATTACATTAAACTATAAATTTTTGTACATTTTTACAAATTTTAAGTGATAATATTTTATAATTCAAGGTGGCTCAACTTGTAACATTCTTGCAACAGCCAACAGCATCCGTCCAAATGAATTCACCACAGCAAGTAACAATCACACAATCACCTCAGCCTTATGAACCAAGAACCACTCCAACTAATCTGACTACATTCCAACCAAATGTACCACTTACAACATTTCAAGCAAGCGATAAATCAAGTATCAGTCCTGCAAGTTCCAGTCTTGGATATGTAAAAGACAGTCCTGTGAGCTCCAGTCTTGGACAAAATAGCTCTGGAGTTTATAATGAGAAACTTAGTCCAAATGGATCTAGCATAGGACAAACAACTCCACTAGTTTACGACAACCAAAAACGACTAAAATCTTCAAATACCCATTTTCAAGAACTTGCCATTTCAACTTTTAATCATAATTACAATACTGGTGCAACATTAACAGAATCTCCTTGTGCAATAGATGAATGTGAGGCAAATGGACTTGATCGTGAATTAAATCCTCAGTGGGAATTTCAAAGTACTACAGAGGCTGCTAACTATACTATTTTATCAGATTGGTCACCTGCTCGTGAATACCTCATTGATGATTTTACAATTCTTGGTTTTCGGCCACAAGATGAAATTACCACAGAACTGTAAATAATATATTATAATATACGTAATTTATATATTTCTTTATAGTATTTGCTCATAAAGATATATTTTCTATTTACAGAAAATACATATTTCATTTATTTTCTATTTTTTCATTGATTATAAAACTGCAATATTTAAAATCATAATCGAAAAATTTCGTCTTCATATTATTAGAATAATTTATTTGTATTTAATGTATTTTCAGTCATTTTCATAAAATGGGATTTTAATCAAATATATTATTTTCATATCGTTCTTTAAACATTCAAATATGTTGAATATTTTACAATCATGAGGCAAATTAAAATATGTAAATATATCATACCAAAAGAAATAAAAAAGTCCTTTATTTTTTCTCATTGTAGGAGAAAGCACAATTTTCAAAAACCAAGAACCAAAATTCCAAAATTACATTTTTGGCATGCACTGTTTAATTATTAGATAGATAAAATGCATAATATATAAATAAGTACTAAGTTCTAAATGCTTTTCAAATATTAAACAACTTTAAAGAGAAACAAATTTCATTTTATTAATTTTTACTTAATCTCTATTAAGTATACATTAAGCTGCATTAATATAACAGACGTAAGATACTTTCTTCGCAATCATTATACGCATGTAATTGAAAGTAAATACACAATGTGTTCATATGTACTTGATTTTATATTTAAAACATGTGCATTAAAATTAAAAATTCTAAACTCTTTATAGTACATTTTCAAATTATTACATGAAAAGAAAAACTTTTTAATTTCTTTTGGTCTAAGAGGTCATTTTTCCTGATCCCATAATTTTGGAAAAATTTGTATGTATGCTTGAATGTATGCATGTACGTATGCACGTATGCACGTATGTATGTATGTATGTATGTATGTATGTATGTATGTATGTATGATGTATGTATGTATGATGTATGTATGTATGATGTATGTATGCATGTATGTATGTATGTATGTATGTATGTATGTATGTATGTATGTATGTATGATGTATGTATGTATGTATGTATGTATGTATGTATGTATGTATGTATGTATGTATGTAGCTTGATGGTTTATGTATGTATGAATTCTACGTAAGAACGAATTTATGACACCAAATAATTATAAGCGTTTTGTTCAGATGATATTTAATTTCTATATTACAAATGTTTAATAATTATTATATAATTTACTGTACTAGTCAATATTTCCTTCTATGCAAAAATATGAAGTATATTACGAAATTATGTCCTTATATTACCAATGTTTGAAATAAGTTTATAAAAATAATTTTAAATTTTTATTACAAATATTTTTTATCAATGCACCAACATATCATTATTGAATAAAGTATTGCAAAACATTTTCAATGTAACACATGTATGTAAACATACTTGTATATGTTGTTACAGAAAAGACCAAAATGGTCAGATGTATGTACAAATTGATGTAAATATTAATATTTTACTAGCAAATGTAAAATGATTATAAATATAATATATATGTATGTAATATAATTAAACTATTCTTTTTTTATATTTTTAATCCTTTTTCATTTCCAAAAAAAACTATATTTTCATAATTATAAAATTCTAATAAATTTACATTTAGAAAAAGAATTATCTTTATTATAAATTACTTTATATAATAAAACCATATAAGTTAACATAAGCAAATTTTATTGATTACTTTGTATAGAAATTTATCGTTTTTTTATTAATATTTGGTTTTTAAGAAAATAGTGATATTTGATTTATAAACATTTTTCATCCTGGTTGCATGGATTGTCTAGGAACAGTTCGTGATTCACGAGCAAGAAGATTGACAGACTTCTCGAACGTGAGAGAGGTGTTGCCGCAGTGATCAGTTTTCTCGAACGTTAAAGACTGATCGGATGAACTCATAGTGTTGCAACTGCTGGCGACTAAATCACAGACTAATTACGAAAGAAGGTAAAGATTGTCTGATGTAAAATTGAAAAAGGACGGATATCGCGATTTTCCTTACGATTGTTTTAAGGAAAGTCGGGAGTTTGCTAGAGGGCGGACGTTTCCTAATTAGCAGATGATTGGATCAAGGGCGTTCCTTTGATTCACGAATCGGTCATCCTAAAGAAGAAGGAACATCCTCCAAACAATGCCGGTGATGGAGAAACCCCTCCTTCAGAGTGAGGCGTATTGGTCAGGTGCACAGGGATCATCGGTATATTGATGACTTTTTCAACTACGTCGTCGTCACCCCCTATTTATGACCCCTTTGGACGCTGAGGCCTAACAGAACCAGTGCACATGGATTAGACTCGAATCCTACAAGCCTATTATCAGCCAAATTTTAAGTGTTGCCTAATTTTGTTAAAATTAGGTATTGAATTGTTTCTCATGTCCGGCGACACTCAAAACATTAAAAAGAAATTTCCTAAAAATATAAAATAACGAAATTGTAAATAGAAAATTCCAAAGATCGAATTATTTTAGCACTCAAGATCCAGCAGTTAGCTGTTTTAAAATTATTTTAGCTGAATATTTAAAAATAAAAAAATGTTAAATAAATTTATTTTATAAAAAGACACACGGTCGTTAGGGAAAATATTTGTGACAGTAGAAAAAAAGTGGTAAATCTAGAAATATTCGTAACGATTATTAAATATCTCGAATGCATAACCGATTAGCAATTAATAACAAATTAATGCACCAACATATCATTATTGAATAAAGTATTGCAAAACATTTTCAATGTAACACATGTATGTAAACATACTTGTATATGTTGTTACAGAAAAGACCAAAATGGTCAGATGTATGTACAAATTGATGTAAATATTAATATTTTACTAGCAAATGTAAAATGATTATAAATATAATATATATGTATGTAATATAATTAAACTATTCTTTTTTTATATTTTTAATCCTTTTTCATTTCCAAAAAAAACTATATTTTCATAATTATAAAATTCTAATAAATTTACATTTAGAAAAAGAATTATCTTTATTATAAATTACTTTATATAATAAAACCATATAAGTTAACATAAGCAAATTTTATTGATTACTTTGTATAGAAATTTATCGTTTTTTTATTAATATTTGGTTTTTAAGAAAATAGTGATATTTGATTTATAAACATTTTTCATCCTGGTTGCATGGATTGTCTAGGAACAGTTCGTGATTCACGAGCAAGAAGATTGACAGACTTCTCGAACGTGAGAGAGGTGTTGCCGCAGTGATCAGTTTTCTCGAACGTTAAAGACTGATCGGATGAACTCATAGTGTTGCAACTGCTGGCGACTAAATCACAGACTAATTACGAAAGAAGGTAAAGATTGTCTGATGTAAAATTGAAAAAGGACGGATATCGCGATTTTCCTTACGATTGTTTTAAGGAAAGTCGGGAGTTTGCTAGAGGGCGGACGTTTCCTAATTAGCAGATGATTGGATCAAGGGCGTTCCTTTGATTCACGAATCGGTCATCCTAAAGAAGAAGGAACATCCTCCAAACAATGCCGGTGATGGAGAAACCCCTCCTTCAGAGTGAGGCGTATTGGTCAGGTGCACAGGGATCATCGGTATATTGATGACTTTTTCAACTACGTCGTCGTCACCCCCTATTTATGACCCCTTTGGACGCTGAGGCCTAACAGAACCAGTGCACATGGATTAGACTCGAATCCTACAAGCCTATTATCAGCCAAATTTTAAGTGTTGCCTAATTTTGTTAAAATTAGGTATTGAATTGTTTCTCATGTCCGGCGACACTCAAAACATTAAAAAGAAATTTCCTAAAAATATAAAATAACGAAATTGTAAATAGAAAATTCCAAAGATCGAATTATTTTAGCACTCAAGATCCAGCAGTTAGCTGTTTTAAAATTATTTTAGCTGAATATTTAAAAATAAAAAAATGTTAAATAAATTTATTTTATAAAAAGACACACGGTCGTTAGGGAAAATATTTGTGACAGTAGAAAAAAAGTGGTAAATCTAGAAATATTCGTAACGATTATTAAATATCTCGAATGCATAACCGATTAGCAATTAATAACAAATTAAATTCATACTTTTGTAGATTTTAATGCGTTCCTAATTTGGCGGGTTTTATTACAGGAAGTGATCAAACTGCGCACGCACCCGGATGCTGCGCGCGCATCGTAAATGAACTAACAAAGAACACTTGACAAATTTCATTTTACCATATTACAAATTAAGCAGTTTATTTTCAGAAAATTTTGTTAGAAATTTGTTTTTCATTATGGATAGTTTATTTATCAAGTGATTTTTGCGTAGAAATCGATCAAAAGATGGTCGACTAAATGATGCTCCAAACGCGTAAGTTCCTGCGGGGTGGGCGAGGGACGCCATGACAGTCGTCGTATTTTCTGTTAACTGCGAGCACGTATGCTCTTGTCAGCGTTTTCGTGAAATTCTTGCGCAGCTTGGCGTCTATCTGGTTCAAAATTGGCAAGCCCGTTTCCTGAATTCGGCGAACTTTCCTTTGAATATATTCTGGAGGTGGAGGGCGAGGGCGCGTGGCCATTATCAGGGATTTGCTTGTGGGTACCCGTGGCGAGGTGAGACGTCGAGAGGCGGCGAAAGGCGTCCCCCCCTGCGTCGGGACGCGCGTCTCCCTGTATACGAGACGGCCTAGGGCCGACGAAGCGAGATGCCAGAACCGCCGACGGCACCGTACACCACGTGAGTCCACCCTCCGAGCTCTCTCGATTATCGCCTCGGCCCTCTTGAGCGATTTCTATAAATCCCCTTACCCCGAATCCCGAGGAACCTCCATCTTGTAGCCTCTTGTCCTCGTTCTACAAGTCACGATAATTGACGCGTCATATGCCTGAGACACCAGAAGATGGTGCCCGTGAACCCTCTCTCGAGTACGAGGGGATCTACGGCGAGTCCTGGCAAATGTGGAAATACAGCTGCGTACTCATTCGAGCCGCTGGTACGCTAACATTTTAGTGTTTCACTATCAGTCTTTGTCGCCTTCAAAAGATGGTATCGGATGACTCACCCTTTCCCGCTCACTCGACAAAAAACTCTAAAATATCTGTGAGGTTAAATTAACTACTTTCTTTTTTGTGCAACATGTCGATACTTTCTTTACGATATTAACCTATCATATGAGCATTATATAATAATAAGTGTCCGCCCAATGATGTCTCGGGTTCATTGTATCTTGAAAGAGTTATTTCGCTTATTGATATTAAACCAATTGATTTCGAGGTTAAATCACAAGGTTTATTTTACTAGTCAGTTCCAACAGTGCAAAGGGCAATGTGGCTACTTTACTAATTATGTGTAACATTTTTTCGGAGTAATACTAATTTCAATAATTTTTCATACTTTATAACTAATGAATATGTATTATTAGATTTTATTTAAATATTTGTGTAAATCATTAGTAATTTTTAATAGAAATTAATTTTAATTAAATTATTTTGCAGGATGAGAAATGAAATATATCAAAAACATTTAATTAGTATCCTTCAGTGAATAAAGATGAATAGTGAGCAGCATGCATTGCCAGCGACTACGCAGGCACAACAAGAGGTAAGAACATTTTCAACTGATACAGGCTATTTACCAAACCACAAATGCGCAACTGATATGTTAAACACTACAGTTTAAAAATATTGTAAGATAAATCAGAGTCCTTATTTGTTAAAATATATTTATTTTTATGAATTTTTCCCTTTATTTAATTCATAAATCTTTTTTAATAAATATTAATTAATCTTTCAGTGCATTAGATTTGTATTTATAACTTTTTGTTATATCTGCTGATCTTTTTTATACAGCTGTATGTAATATTTCTTTATTTGTGTTTAGCATTGTGAAACAATTACATCTAGATAATAAAATTTTGTATAAAATTTGATAGTATCTTCTTACTAAGTTTAATTGCTTGTAGTAAATTTAATGAAGTAGCTTTTGCTTGAATACTCTGTATTCATCAGCTTGTTCTATTTGCAACTTAAGTATTTAAAAAGCGTTGTATGTTAAAAAAGATAAATATTTACAAATATTATAATGTACTTATAATATTTATATGCATTATGCTTTATTATTAGACATAAATATGTAAGCTTTTATCATTAAAATACATATTTTATATTATTTTGCAATTTGAATTTAGATATAATTATATTTCAATTTTTGCTAAATTACAAATTTTGTATATAAGAATGAATAATACTGACGGCACGAATGGCTGCACGAGTTTGTTATAATTTAATTTATAGCTTTTGTAATGCTAGAAAAAAGGAATTTGGAAACTAGCGCATTTGTTGATTGGATTTAAGCCTGATGCATGCTATTGCATGCTCTATCAATGTTGTACAAATGTTTGAATGTATATCGGTAGGATGTAAACGCGGGTCAAAGTGGTCGTCCTTCATACCCAGGTGGTTTGGCTACAGCAACCAGTCTTGGCAATGTAGGGAGTACCCCGCATTCATCCGCGGACCTGCGTGTAGGTACAGCCGTAGCGTTAGCCTCCTCGGTAGCTAAATATTGGGTCCTCACCAATCTATTTCCTGGACCGCTACCTCAGGTCTCGGTCTATCATCATTCCCACCACAACTCCTCACATAGGAGTAGTGGAGGTGGAGAGGCATCTTCCAAAGAGCCAGCCTCTTCATTGAACCAAGAAATGGCGTTGACTTCCAGTTCACATCATCAGTCAACACCTACACACCATCATCATCAACCTTCAGTTAGCAGTAGCAGTCATCATAGTTCTTTACAACCAAACCCACAGGTTTGTTTACTTAGAGGTATGCGATGATTAGTTACTGAATGTAGCTTATAAATGATCCAGGTTTAGTATCTGCGTTTGCAGGAGTTGTGGTAATATACTGTATTGTATGTAATCTCATATAAGTGTGAGTAGCTAGTAAAGTTATGTCTTGTAATACATACACATGGAATGCTTGCAATTTCACATTTATAATTTAAGATATGCTTTTGTTAAAGTGTTCTTGTTTTAATATTTCTTTTTGTTATATATAACCATCTAATTGTTTTATATATATATAACTGACACTGTTTTTAACTGTCGTGTTTATTATCTAGTTGTGTCTATTATATATGTTTGAAAATGAAAGTATAAAATGTGAAATATATTTTATGATTAATTTAATGGTACTTTTAACTGTCTAATTGTTAAAACTATAATTCAGTTGCCTTGCAAAAGAACGTAGTAATATTTTATCTTTGTATTTTATTTAGCAGATACCAGTTTCTCTGTCAGGCCTTAATTTAGACGGAGCACATATACCTGCCAGCGTCGGTCATTTACAGGCAGCACATGCACAAATGCAGCAACAAATGCAGGCAGCACAACAGCAACAGTTGCATCAGCAGCAGCAACCTCAACAGCAGCAGCAGCAGCAGCAACAACCACCTCACCATCAAATGCAAAATCATCAAAATGCTCAGAACAATGGACCAACTGCACATAATCAAAACGCACAGCGAGATGATAACAAGGTGAAAGATGAAGGTGGAAGTTGCACGACTGAACGTTGCAGTGACAATCAAGTTCATTGTCAAGTTCAATGTGACCTCCAATTACAAACATCTCAAGATTTGCAACAAAGCCTTATGCAACAGCAACAACAGCAGCAACAGCAACAACAAATTGGTGTGAACATAAGTGGAAACTCATCAAACGAAGGTGGAAGTCAAAATAATACTGAAAAACCTGAAAAGGAAAAAGAACTGCGTCAACTTAATATGACGCAGTACGTTCGTACAGTTTATATATGTATTTACGATAATTTTTGTAGCCTGACAAACGACATTACAATTTTTGTATAGATTCCAAGTGCCAGATTTAAAACCAGGAGGTCATATGATGGATGTGAGAACAGCTGATGGTTCAGTTGTAAAAATCAGTGCTGGAAATGAGCAAGACTTAGCAAAAACACTTGGTGTTGAAATGGTGCAAAATATGTATAAGGTAAGAAATAATGTAGTGTACATATAATACGCATCATATAATATGTATTTAAAATTACATTTATATTATATTTTATAGGTAAATGTTGAGGATATTAATCAGCTATTAGCATATCATGAAGTGTTTGGAAAACTACAAAGTGAAATAGCAGCTGGTACAACCTTGGTTGGAAGTACTGTTCCTACTCAAACAGTTACCACTATACAAAATGGAACTCCAATTGTACAACAAGTTCAATTAAATAAGTTCGATATTAAATCAAGCGATGGTGAAGCTACACCAGGACCAAGTGCTTCGCCAGTATCAGTTGGAAGTCATGCATGTGAAATATGTGGAAAAATTTTTCAGTTTCGCTATCAGCTTATTGTACATCGTCGATACCACACGGAAAGAAAACCTTTTACTTGTCAGGTACATAACAAATACTTTCATATCTTTTTTATATTTTATTTTTATACATTTAATGTATTCTTTCAAATTGTTCCAAATTTATAGGTGTGTGGCAAGGCCTTTTTAAATGCAAATGATTTGACAAGACATGGGAAATGTCACTTGGGCGGATCTATGTTTACTTGTACAGTTTGTTTTCATGTATTTGCAAATGCACCATCTTTGGAACGTCATATGAAACGACACGCTACTGATAAACCATATAATTGTACTGTATGTGGAAAAAGTTTTGCAAGAAAAGAACATTTGGATAATCATACACGTTGTCATACTGGAGAAACACCTTACAGGTAAATGCATTTATTTTACTTCACTAAAGTTTAAATAAATTAATAGAAATTACTTAAAAAATGTACGAATTTGATATGTTACACATTTTTAATTATCGATTAATAAATAATTATTGATTTATATTTTGATTTTTAATTTTTAATATTTATATTATATTTAACAAATTAGCGTTGACAAAAATATATATAACTATAAAGTATTTATTTAAATCCAATTGAATTTTTCATTTGAAGTAATTTTATAATTTTATACTTCAGGTGCCAGTATTGTTCAAAGACGTTTACAAGAAAAGAACATATGGTAAATCATGTTCGAAAACATACAGGTGAAACACCTCATCGATGTGATATTTGTAAAAAGAGCTTTACCCGCAAAGAACATTTTATGAACCATGTTATGTGGCATACGGGAGAAACTCCTCACCATTGTCAAGCTTGTGGCAAGAAATATACACGTAAAGAACATCTCGCAAATCATATGCGTTCACATACCAATGATACACCATTTCGCTGTGAAATATGCGGTAAGTAATTTATTTTTCCAGTAACTCGTGTGGCGTAAATTATTATATATACGAGTAATACATTATTTACATATAATTTCAGTATCGTGTGCACATAATCTGTGCTTTTTATAAATACTCTTTTTTTCCCTTTCTATTATTATTTTAATATGTATATAAAATCAGATAATAATTAGTATGTTTCTATTTTTAATTTCAAGATCACTTTCATTATTTAAAATGTATTTTTTATACTATTTTTATATGAATTACATATAATATTACAAATTTTTTTTAGACATTATGATTAACATTCATGATAATTTCTTTCGTTAATCTTTTCTTTTTTTTATTTTACTATTCATTAACACCAGTAAATAATAAGATTATTCTATATAAAAGTCACATATGATTAATATTTATAAAGACTTTTCAAAATCTGTATGTTGTACTGAATTTTTATATGAATTTTATTGAATTACATGTTGAACGGAATATAAATTTCCGATTTCATCTCGAAAAATTTAAAGTGATCTTGAAATGTTTGTAACAAGAAAAAAGATAACAAATTATTGTCACGTTTTCATATTTGAGTTTAACGCATTTTTTTAACAAGTATTATAGTAAACAAATTTTATAACTAAAAAGTATTGAATCTTTTTTTTTTTCTTTTTTGAAGTGCTACTTTTTTAAAATTTTGGTGCAATGTATTAAATCAGAAAACGAGAAATTATTTTAATATTAATTCTAATCAGATTTTTTCTTGAAATATAAAATATAAAAGTTTGTTATAATTATTCAAATATAAATAGATCTAATTACAGAAGTTCTTATTAAATTACTCATTTATTATAAAAGTTACTTTTGGCATAAAATAATAACCGGATGTTTAAATAGTGTATGAAGGAAATCTAAGAAAAATTTAATTGATTTAGTTTAATCAGTTACTTAAAAAAAGGTTATCTATGCGGATAAAATGATAATATTAAAGTTTTAAATAATATTATCATATAATATAAAAAATTAAAAAGTTAATGGGACGATTCCAGAATATCAATAACAGTAATTTATAATTAGTAATAGAAAATCATATAGAATTTAATATATAATTTCTTAATAGAGGGGCTTATGTTTTTTTTATACTTTAAGACATTTTATATGTCTTATTGTGATAAAGTAAATTTACATAGTCTGTGTTACATTATTTTCAATAGTATTTAAGATATTTGCAAGGTAAGTTATAATTATCAATTATTGATTGATAATTAAATATTTTATACCTAAAATTAGAAGTACTTGTTACAATTTGAATGTAAGTATAACATAAAAGAAATTATCATTCTAGTAGAACATTATTTATACAGAATAGTTCAATAATGAACAATTTACATATTTATATTTTTTATGTAATTAATATAAACGTGAGTAGGTACTTTTTGGAAACTAAAAATTGATATTTGAAACAAGTGTTTTTTAGGATTTCATATTCATGCTTATGTCTGTTTCTTAGTGTCAGTATTATTTTAGCAGTTCATACATAAAAGTGCATACACTTATGCATTTTTGTGCATATTCATTTGACTTTAAAAGCATGCATTAATATGTTTTGCATACAAGAAATTGTGTAATATATTTCATGAAAAATAGTTTAATATCTTCTTATTTTAACATAATATTTTAATTTAATTTTATAATAATACTTTTATATGTTTATTCTAAACAAAGGCACAAGTAATATTAAATTTACATAATATAGCATTAAATCATTATATGGTAACAAATGTTATTTAATCTTTTCAAAATTAAGTAAATTAATTTCCATAAAAATAAATATTATTTCAATTAATACAATTTGAAATGAATGCTTTTGATAAATGTAATGGTTCAAAAACATGAAAAAATTAGAACATATAAATTCAAATAACCTGTCAAAAATGTTATTATCGAATATTGGTTATTTTTTCTTGTATTATGATATCACAATAAAAGGCTGCAAAAAGGTTAGAAAATATGAAATAAAATTCGCAAGAATTGATCGCGCATCGTGTCTAGCTACCTACAGTCACAGGTCGCGCGCATTCCTTCACAAAAGCGTCTTTCTAACCTTCGAATTATCAGTGCGTTTGACCGTCGTATATTATTTTTTTAGTGCCCGTCGCTATCGGTGACGGGTCATTTACGATCGTTTCATACGTCTGCACTTTACCACATACTTCGATGTCATGACTTATTTCGTAAATCTAAGCGGTTTGTACATATTATGAAGACGTTTCTTCATCAACAAGATACAATTTTATTTTCTTAAATTACGGCATATCGCCTTTGTCGATTTAATACCAACCTTAATTATTGAAATCTTGTTTGTAAAATATATCCAAGTCTTGCAATTCTTTTTTTTTGTTTTTGAAGATTTAAAACTTATACACATTATTTACTTATACGATTACTGTTATTATTCCGCACATTGTTACAAAATCTAAAAATTAGTTTAGAGTGTTACTATTGAATTATGTAACTTTATATTTAAACATTTCATTAAAAATATTTGGAAAAAATAATTTAATTTGTACAAAAGGTGGATTTTTATAAAATTCTTTTTATTGTATTAGTTTTTATAGCAGACAATGATTAAATTCAACATACAAAAGATAAAAACCTACAAATATAATTTATTTTTATATTTTTATGTAATTCTGATTTATCGATTTAAATTTCATGATTCTCTGTTCAATTAGAATTAAAATTAATATATTATGTTTTATATTATTTTCTCCTTTTAAAAGATTACTGAAAATATCTTTATTTATTTATACTTGCATGAACTTGGTAGTTATTATGTATTTTTAAAGAAGCGAAATTATAAGTGACATTATAATTGAATACATGCAATAAATTTCCATTTATTGTAACAATTTCACATGTATAGTAATGACCACGATATAGCGAAATCGTAAAATCAGTGAAGCATTAAAGTAAATACATTTAAAAGTTGATACAAACAAATTGGTAGAAATGAGTGAATGAGAATCTTGAATTACAATATTTAATATTGTTACCATATTTCATATAATATATTAAAACAAAAATTTATTTTTACACTACAAATTTTTGGTTCATTTCTTAAATTTATTTAAATAGTAATCGATATTCTCCATTTTTATACTTTGAAATGAAATAACGTTGGTAATAAGTTGCTTCTATTTTATTGTGCAAAATTTCAAAATAGAATGCATTATACACTTCTAAGTGCCGTGATACCGGTAGATGTCACTACTTGATGTTCTAATTTACGACCTCGCTATGTCATGATCGTTACTATACTATCTTCGATATTATTCTCAAAGTTCAAAGAAATATTTGCATGTTCAGTTTTTAATGTTACTATTTATTTCAAGAGTATACGGAAATTTGTTTTTGGTATGTGGGAATATTAAGGTTCTCCGTGCCCCACATATATATTTATAATTGTTTTATACTATAATATTGATTGTAAATAAGGAAGTGAAATTTAATATTATTAATTTTGTTGAATACCCAACGTTTTAAATTCAACATATATCTTACAAAAACAAAATTTTCAATTTAAAAAAGAAATGGAACATTTCACGACTGATATAAAGGTATTTATAAATGGCGTTGGTATTGCCTTTACAGTACGTGATGATATGTTTCAGTATTAAACTATTATTTAATAATTTTAAAATCATTCGTGCATTATAAAAATATTGATCTTTACATAATTAGTGTTTATAATTTCATAATAATATACAAATAGCTGTCGTAATATAAAAGTATAAAAATATTATTGGTAAAAGTTATCCCGGAAAAATGAATGTCACATTGATATTTTATTGCATTGGTTTTTTCTTCATAGGCATAGTGTTCACTTTTTACATGTTTTATATGCTTATTCGAAAAAAGATAATTTAATCAATCTTTGATATACATTTTTATATAATATACATTTTGCGTTGCTCCAACTATAAATATATATTTTACATAAATAGAATAATATAATAGTACATATATATTTTACAGATTAGTAGAAAAAATAATGGTTAGAATTTATAGATTCAAATATAAAAACAAAAATTATCGTTTGCCTAGAAAATTTAGTATGGATATCTACCAGAAAAATGGCGTTGTAAAGTTCATAAACAGCTTTAATGGTGATGGCTACAAAATTATCTGTCTGCTCTCTCTCTCTCTCTCTCTCTCTCTCTCTCTCTCAGTTCATATATTTAAATGTATCAAAAGGGGGGGGGGGGGGGAGAAAT